GGCGCGGCGCGGCGGCGGTGGTGGGGAGCGGCCGCGGGGGTAGGCGCTGCGGGGCGGCGGCGGCACGCGGGGAAGCGTTGCGCGGCGGTTTTGTGAGGAGGTGGTAGCGGCTGCAGCGAGAAGGCACGGCGGCTGAGGAAAGCGGCAGATGCACGCGGCGACAGAAAAAGGCAGCGGTGCGATGGAAAGCTAGCTAGCGAAGCTAGCGATGGAAACCTAGCTAGCCAACGGTCAACGCGGTCGCGGCGTGACGAGCGGAGAAGCGGCACGGGGCGCGCAGGGTGCGGAAGCGAGGATGGGGTGCGGCGCCGGCGGCGCGGCGGTGGCTGACCCTAGGGTTAGACCGGAGAGGATGATACCATGTAGACAGATGATTTGCAATACAGTTGATTGATTGGGGTGTTGGTGCACGCATATATAATACAAGGGAAGGCCTCTATCTCAACTACATAAGACTAGGAGGTGGGCCACAACTCCAATAGACTCGGGAAGGAGGGGAGGTGAACATCAGTACAGACACAAGCGCTCATATACACGCGCATACGCTCATCCCTATGAACGCACACACGCACACCCTACCCCTATGAGCACCTCCGAAAGACTGAGCCGGCATATCATCTTGAGATTTACAAAGTCACCGTAGGCGCCTCGTCGTCAACGGGAACGTCTCCTTCCACTGAATGCGCATCGCCGAAAATCCTGAAATAAATTCAGAAATAAATGCGAGCACCAGGATTTGAACCCTGGTGGGCTGGGGATACCACAGTCCCTCTAACCATCTAATCATAGGTTGGTTCGCGGAGACGTGCTTACTTGGGTGGTTCTTCTCCACCGGTTTTGTGTTGCATTGCGAGCACGGATATAGGAAAGAAATCGGTGGATTGATTCCTTCCCTCGGTGGTGTGGAATGAAACGAGGAAAAGATCAATCGAGGGGGAGTCCTGTCGATCGATGGGAGGAGTACGAGCGTTGTTTGGATAGGGCGTATGTACACAATCTGTTCTCTATAAACCAGGAAAACGGTTCAACAGACTAAAATCTTGTTTGGCTACGATCACTAATCCACGTATATAGAAAACTTGGTTCTCCAAAACCCTGGATTTCAGGTTTGTGGGAAATCTACTATTATCCGTTTTCCAAAATCGCGATCGCTATATACGTGATCGTAACTGCTTCCCCCTCCGACGGCTCGTTTCCCTACAGCTTCGTGGCGCCAGTTTTGCGTTTTCTGCCGCTCACCTCCAGCTCCGACATGGCCGCCGTCAGGTGGCCGGCGTCGAGCATTCCCTTGAGATCTGCACTACCTGGTACGGATGCGCCTGGACGGCCAGCGTCTGAGGGGCGGCGGACCTGCGAATCAACTCGACCCGCGCTGAACCTATTTGGTGCCGAGAGGGATGCTCTGGACGTCCGGCATCGAGGCGCGGCGGACATACCGGATGAGCTCGAGGAGCAGTTCTCCCCGCGCAGATCCTATGCGGGGCCGACAAGGGATGTTCCTGGACAGCTAGCGTCGAGGGGCGGTGGACCTGCGGGATGCACTCGAGGAGCGGCTCCCCAAGCAGAACCTATGCGGGCCGACGAGGGGCGCTCCTGTACAGCAAGCGCCGAGGGGCGGCAGACTGCGGGATGAGCGTGAGCAGAAGCTCTCCTTGTTTAGAGCCTATGGGCGACCAGGGAAGCCTCTCTGCGCGAACTCGTCGAGGCCGTCCCGTTGGGAGGAGTGCACCGGCATCGCAAAACAAGGGGAGAAGTGCACCGGCGTCTACGGGCTGAGAACGAACTACAGAAGAAGAATCGCAGGTGGATCTTGCGAAGCCATCAGCAATGGCCAAAATTGGGGTTAGTAAGGGCATGTACAATGGTTCTATCTTAGCAATGCCACGTAGGATAAATGATGGGGTGGAAGAGAGAGAAATCATAAGAAAAGGCGTGTCTTCTCTTATTTAAGAGAAGACAAAAAATGATCTCTTAGCTCAATATGTCTCACCATGTTTTTAGGAATAGCTAGTTATTTAAGATAAGGATAAGAGATGACCCATTATATATACCTATTTTTGTCATCTTTAAATTACATGCAAGACTTACGATAAGACTACCTTATCAACCATTGTACATGCTTTAAGAGAGAGAGGGTCACGGAAGGAAGCTAATCGTTATCTATCCAAACAAGGAAATACACAAGCCAGTTTTACCCTTTTCCAAACCCAAACGTGTTATTGTGTAAATCGGTAATCCAAAAATCAATTAGCAAAACTGATTTAATCCAAAAATCAATTAGCAAAACTGATTTTGCTAAAATCTTGGTACAAACTCGATTTTCCATATACCGCCTCTTATCCAAACAAGAGAAAATGAAAGAGTGGATGATGCGAAGTCTGTTTGCTGAAGGTTTGCATCATCCACTCTTTGTGCATCATAATTTTGTGCAAAGAACTCCATTACCGTCAACGTCATTCCAGCAACACGATGATGCAGAAGCGAAGTTATCCTCCTTTTAAAAACCCAATGTAATTCAAGGTAAACAGTAGCATGTTATTATTATTACATATCTTCGTCACTTGTAGTTGTAAGCTCAAATAAACCACTGACGTATATAATGGAAATAAATATTCGAGCTCACATATATGATTGTTCAAAAAATATGGGAATATGTGAAACCTGTATATAGCACGTACACTGAATCACATACATACATACAAATGTATTAACAAGCAAGTCTAAGATCGGCCGATCGAAACATACATGCGTAGTATATCAACACTATCAATTGGACCATTGCAATGTACGTATGTATGAGTAGCACACAAACTATTATTGATCATACCCTAAAACGAAATCCTGCAGATTCATTGAGTTTCCACCTTGGAGCTGGAGCTGCTGGCCGCCGGTCGTAGGAACATAGTGATCGCAAGACGCCATCCACGTGGAGAACTTCTCGTCGGCACCAACGACGGCGCCGCCATCCGGGCACTGCAGCTCCGGCAGGGGAGGAACTCCGCCTTGAAAGGCTCCGGCCGCGGCAAGCTGCTTGCTGTAGAGGAAGTCGTACAGCTCGTCGACGTGGCCGTAGCCGAAGCCACCGCCTACCATTGACGCCGAGCTCATCTCGACGGTACTGGCCACTCCAGCGGCCTCGCCGGCAGCAGAGCCAAACCCTAGCTTGGAGGCGGATCGCTCCTCGAAACCGCCCGGCACCGGCATGTCGTAGCTCGCTCCAGCGGAAGGGTTTAGCTGTTGCTCGGCTTCCACGACGTCCGCGGCAGCAAGGGAGTGACCGTGACTGACAGTCGTCATGGCAACCGCGTCCGTCGGTGGCTCGAGCTTCGGCCACTGCGGCGGCGCGTTGCTGGCGCCGCAGCCAAACGCGCTGTAGAGTCCCTGCAGGCGCATGTGGAGCTGGATCCGCTCCAGCGCTGACGAGCTGAGTGCCGCGGTGGTGCCGCTAGCGTTCCCGCTGCTGCTGGCGCTGCCGCCGCCCGCCGCCAGGTAGGAGTAGGGCATCGGCGCGTCTTGGTTGGCGCGCTGCAGGCGGCGGGACGGCGCGCGCTTGCCGAGGAGCTTCTTCTTGAGCTTGGTGTTCCAGTAGTTCTTGATGTCGTTGTCCGTTCTGCCCGGCAGCTGCGCCGCGATGATCGACCACCTGAATCCATGGTCCATCCATGCGTTAATTAGTAGCATTTCTAGTGTAAGAGGTCGATCAATCGATGTGATTTTGATGGATCAGGAGAAGTTGAAGGGGAACTTTTACGGTGGAGATTAATTACTAGAACGTGTTGCATGCGATGAGGAAGAGGAAATTGAGGTTAGGTAACTAATTGATTACCTGCTGCCGATGCTAATGTAGAGGCTGCAAATGATGTGTTCCTCTTCCTCTGTGAAGTCGCCGTGCTTGATGTTTGGCCTCAGATAGTTGAGCCATCTGAGCCTACAGCTTTTGCCGCACCTCTTCAGCCCTGCACAACCAAACATTCATAGATCTTCAGTGACAATTTAGCAAGAACACATCTGTAAGGAAATTAATTACAAGAATAAATGTTTGAATTGTCAATACAAAAATTAATTATCTGATGATTGACATAGAAGTATTACAGAACTATAGCTAGCTAGTACTAACACACTAGGCATAGTACTGAAGATCACATGCCCTACAATAATTATCTGTGCATCAGTAAAGTAGTTAAGGCCTAATCACATGTTCTTACTTCATGCAATTACCATGATACATACTAGTTTCCATATTTTATAGTAGAAAGGAAAGTTGCTTCTTTGTCAAGATGATCGATCTCATCTAACTAGATCTGTCACCCTAGGACAAACAAATAGGCCAAACCATGGATGGAACATCATACTAGCTTTCTTTCCATCAAAAGTTTAAGAACAACTAACTGTAATTCCATTGGTTGCAACTGAAAACTACAGCTAGCTCGCTTGAATCAGGTACCAAACCCCAGGGTGGAACCATACAGATACTACCAACATTGGCTCTGGCTCAAGGTGTATAATTGAGAAAAGGGAGGTGGATGTGCTTAGAAAGCTGAAATCAACAGGACACAAATATATCTATCTAGCATGTAAAATGTCCCCTTTCAGATTGACCAAACGTGAAAAAGCATACAGTGGCGGTACTGGCTATGGCTGGTCGCTCCGGGCAGTAGCTAGGTAGCTATATCCATGTCTTGCAACATTAATGCCGGCCCATTTATGGGAAAGAGGAGACAGATCAGACTTGACCAAATCGAGGAGAGAGATGGGGGTGCAATTAACCACAAGATTAGGTTGGACTGTTCAAGGCAAGAGCGCGCTGGTCAATCATCAAAGGTCGGCACAACGGAAAAAGATGACCACCGGCCGGCCACCGCCCAGCGATATATGGTACTCAGGGGTTGAAGAAGAGAGAGACAAGAGGGGCGTACCGATCTTCTGCGGCAGGGCGATCCAGTTGCCGCCGGTGCCATTCTCGTCGATGTAGGCCTTGAGCTTGGCGTCCTCCTCCGGCGACCAGGGGCCCTTCTTCACCGTCGCCTTGTCGCAGCACGGCGCCCTCCCCATGGCCGCGCGCCTGGTGGGGGTGGGATCGCGGTCGATCGACCTCCTCTCCTCCTCTTCTTCCTCCTCCCGCCGCGACAGCGACGGCAAGCCGGCCGGAGAAGAGAGATCGGAGATCAACTGAGCTCGATCGAGCAGTAGAAGCGGCGGCGATCGATGTAGGTAGGAGCGTTGGACTGGGGCGGCTGCTGGTGTGTTGGACGACTGGGGATGGAGTGGTGACGGGTGTGTGGGTTTGGGAAGAGACGAGGAAGGCGATGTGGGGAGCTTTATAGCCGGGATCGCGCGGACAGCGGGAGAGAAACGCGGGGGCGCCTGGCTCTGGGCTCTGGCCGCGCGCCTTGCCTTGTGATGTGACGGTTGCTTCTGCAGGGACAACGGGGTCCGGTCCTCTCCTCGCCAGGGCTTCTGCTACCATGCACCATCCAGGATCTTCTCTGCCCAACAAACTCTGCATGCATGTACACCTTTTTTTTGAGAGAGAGAAGTGTGCATGTACACGTTTTGGTCACCATGGATGTGCATTTTGACGAGAAGAAAACAAATCTTGGCGTTTGGAAATGGTGGCATGAGAATTGTTCAATTGGTTTGGCTGTAGTGTGAGCAATACTCCGATGTTTGAGTCATGTAATTAATCTTATCACTCACCGGTTGTGATATTGATGTAATCTTTTGGCAAGGTGCTCATTTATGTGTTGTGGCATGTATGGAAAGAGAGGAATCGGAGGCTTTTCCAAAACGCCAGATGTTGCTTACCTCGTCAGGGAGGACCTTATCCAGTTGGGTTTACCTATGGCAAATGGCATGTAATTTCTAAAGCTTTTTCTGGTCTTGTAAATAAACTTCTCTACACTTTCTATTTTCGCCTATCTATATGAAATATGGCAGAGCGCCTGCCTTTTATCGTCAAAAAGAAATGTAGTGTCACTGTATGAAACTATTCTACTGCATTCTTTATTTTTGGTCAAAAGGTGTGAAATTTTTCTAGACTTTTCAGCATGATAGTGTTGATTTTACAGGATTTAAAAAATGTTGTACACTTTGAATTTTTTTGTCAAAATTTGACCAAAACGGGACTGAAATTGAATTTATGTCGTACTTTTAAATTTGTTTATCAACAAAGTGTGAAATTTTCCCAGATTGGTCAGCACAGCATGGTAGTGTTGATTTTACAGAATTTTGTTTAAAAAATCATGTACACTTTGATTCTTTTTGGTCAAAATTTGACCAAAGGGGGCTAAAATTGAATTCCTATCATACTTTTAAATCTGTTTGTCAACAAAGTGTGAAACTTTCCCCGATTGGTAACGATGGTAGTGTTAATTTTACAGAATGCTTTCAATCTTTTCTGAACACTTTGAATTTTTGTTCAAAATTTGACAAAAGGGGGCTGGAATTGAGTTTCTACTGTACTTTTAAACCTACAAGTCAAAAAAAAAGTGTGAAGATTTCCCAGATGTGTCAGCATGGCACTGTTGATTTTACAGATTTTTTCTACACTTCGAATTTTTCGTCAAAATTTGACCAAAGAGTGGGTGCTGACGTGGCGCGCTGATGTAGCTGATGCGGGCCATCAATTCGGTCAAATACCTGCCACGTATGCCAAACTCACCTTAGAGCAAGTGAGGGGGTAATTTGAACGGTTTTGATAGTTGTGTTCCAAGTTCTAGCCAGTATTGGAGTTCATGGTTGTAAATTAAACTAGGGCGTGAGTCCGGCCGGGTTGAAATATGCATTTCTCTCTTTGACAAAATTACTCTAACTTGGCCCGTTTGCATCATATGAGAGTTTGGCGGCATTGAGGATGTCGACCTCGGTCATTGGGGTGACGAGTTCTCTTCAACTTCGGCCGCCAGCGCATCCATGACATCCGTGGTTTTCGTCCGATTTTCTACTAATTAACTAAGGCATATATTTTACTTAAACAGGCAAAGCTTATTAACGGCCTTGGTCCTTTTCCTGATCTCCTTGTGTGTGTAAAATCCTGCATGGTTGGAAAACGAAAAAACATTTCAGCCTGAAGCGTTCATCCAAGTCATGCATGCTTGGAACACAAGCTAGCCTGCTCCCCTTGCTCTCCGCGCAACCGATCCTAGGTTAGGGACGTCTGGCTGGCGTGTGCGACGGCTACTAGACCTCATCTCGCACCCTTTTCTTCTCGCTGCCTGCCTACCTTTCCCCCAGATTTATTCCTGTCCCGAGACCTCATCGCATCTCCATGCCATTGACGAATTCCTCCTTCCCCTCTCTCCCCGGATCCAAGTCCAACACCGTATGCCCCTGGATCACACGACAGATGCATGAGCCTTCAGAGTTCAGACCTAACGCTCCGGTTGATATAGTAGTAGCAGATCACAGATGTCGCAACATGGGCTGGAGTGCCCGAGCGACTTTTAGGGCATCATCCCAGTCTGAAGACGTACCACTATACTATATCGCCACTGTTCTGTTCAAACGACGCATGCATTGACTAGCTATCACGTAGTATCACATGAGTAGATTATTGTTGCATTGGCAGATGGTCCAAGTAGCCGGGCTAGCCGAAGCAGCAGGAGGAGGTGTGCTAGTGCGTGTTTTCAACTACAGTAAATTAATTAATAACTTGACAAACACGTATGCGACGCAATGAGCTCACCACCATCGGCTACATATGCCTGTCCATACATCTACGAATGTTTCTGTTTAAACCAACCTGGGTTATTTTCTGCATGCGCGTACCTGTTGTTACCGCAGGGATCGATCAAAGAAGCCGCGTGCAACAACTAGAAATTTTACAACAAGTTGGCTGTCGATCTGGCCGCGGAAACCTTCGTGTACTTTCGATTGCGCGGATTTTTCCCGGCATTGTTGAATTGATCCAAATTGAGGTTCAGAGAATCTGTCAAGATCCAAGAAAAAGTAGAGATACCAGAGGCGAAATTAATATTGGGGTGAATATATTCACAAGAAACACAGGAACAGATTGGATGTTGTACATCTGTCGTGGGTATCCACCATAATATCTGGTTCTGACAAATCTGGCATGCTGCCTAAATCGACAGTTTCCAGTTAACCAGTTTGGGAGAGTTCTTGCACGTATGTATGTTGTTTGTTTTGACCGTCTCTTCACCCAGTAGTCCTCCATGCTGCAGGCTGCCCTGTTTTCTTGTACCACCTAACTAGCTTGGAAAATTTTGTCCGCCTATGGAATGCTAGCTGCATGTGTGTATGTGTGTGAGAGTGCTAGCGTCTAGGTACCCTAGAAGAAAAGGGAAGGGGGGAATAATTAACAATGGTTCAATTTCATGGGTAGCTGCAGGTAACTAACTATTTACAGTCATGTATATTCAACAACTCTAACTAACTAGTATCATCATTGGACAGTGATATAAAGAAAATCACCTACAAGTACAACCAAGACATGTGCATCCAAGTGAAGGGAACTAGTACTAATTATTTACTATGACAATTTTCATCTCAAGGACTAGCAGCTGGTTGAGTAGCCTTCAATTCCTTTGCTACCAATTTACCATGACATGACACTTAATCTTGAGGACTAGTAGCTGATTGAGCAGTATTCAATTCCATGCATCTAACTTTCTTTCAACTAATTGGCTCTCATTTGCTACTGTGTAGACAAGTGGCCAAGGTCCACCTCCAAATTTATGCACCAAGGAGGAAGGTCCAAGCAGGAAGGGGTTGAGAATTAATGGGAAAAGCTAGCACTTTACATTTCATATTATTAGCGCTAAACAAGTGTTAATCACGTTGGCGCGAAATCAAACTCTCACGCATTGACCTTAGCTTGATGAGTCATGGACGTTCTATTTCTTTTTCTAATAATCGGCGTACGGAGGTGCTAAGCCCACGACGACGATGCACACATCATAATCAACCACGACCCATCGGTCCCACCGTCAGCGACTCGAGGTGAAGCCGGCAATGGTAAATCGAACCGACGGGTGCAGAATGAGCCATCACCTTTTTCCGAAAAGGCAATCCGGGTTAATCCGGCATGATCAAGTCCACAGGATAGACTTTGTTAGCCCTAAAGCAAGGATGGCTTAAAATATGCACCCCTTCATATGGCAGCAAGGAGAAAGGACTGGAGGAGTCATTTGGGATTTTCCCGCTTGTCATTTCCTGCAAGGTCATATTCCCCATGCATACACGGCCCTTCCCTCGGCTGTCATCAGCAACTTGACACAGTCTTAAATCTTGGCATGAGGAAAAGAGAGATGAGCACAATGGGAAAAGTTGGGGAAAAGGCAGTGGGGGAGTAACCGGATATACATATCTTTGATGAGCCTCATTGGAGTCTAGCATTTGAAGCCATGCATGCATAATAGTAGTACTTGACCTAAAGAGAGGCCGTACCCCAAAGCAAAGTACATGATGCATGCACTGCTTATATTAAGGCACATTGCTAAAGCCATCAAAGGTGACCTACATGGTATGATTTGTGCCACAAGGGGAGAGGGGGAACTTGCCACCCAAAAATCCGCGGTGACATAACTCCTGTCACGAATTCCTTCAAATCTAAGATACTATGAACGCACATTTATTTTCCGTGGATACATATACATACACACCCCGTTGTCGTGCCGACACGGTTTCGCCAACACGGCACGAGTTTGGACGGCTGAGATGACAACGCGTGCCAGTGACATCGATTTCCGACCGGACAATTCGCGGCCAAGTAATATATGTATGTACCCTGTGAGCGACGGATAGATCGCGGAGTGCCGAAACATGTACATGGGTCCAAGAACAAGGCCTTGCAACTTTTAACTTTATCACCACCACCATCATGCACGTATCACATACGCCCTGTCAATCCGTTTCCCGGAAGTGATATTTATCTTTTTGGCGGTGTCCAAATATCAGGTGCCACGGGGGCTCATGGTTAGGAGAAAGCGCCACCCTTTCCCCCCGACAGGCTAGCCGGGGATTGGACCGGGCGTCAAGCCGAGCAGAGCACCTGTCTGTCCCTAGGCCCGCCCCCTGCTGCTCTCCTGCTGCTCCTGCTCGTATCATTGGCAAATGATGGCACAACGGCATGGCAAAAGGCTACTAGGACTAGTTCCTGCACTGCTGCACACTGACACTGCAATTTCACTGCCCTGACAGCCAGCAGTTGACGCTTGACACGGTGTCACGGTGGCCCATGTCACCAACCTAATTTATCAGCGCGCGCTCTTCCAGCAAGTGAATATATGTATAGAAAATTTTGGCCCGATAAAGGCATTTCTAACCGATCAGAGGAGTAAAAGTACGGTTTTACTCCTTTAACCAACACCTAGCCGATCCTTTATCCGCTGTAAGGGGGTAAAATTTTTACTCACTCCCCAAAATTCTTCTTGTATTTACTCCACCGCGCGGCGGCTGAGTAAAAGCTGCGCCTCTCCTCCACTGTCTCCCTCTTTCCTCCTGCGTCGCATCTGCGCCAGCACCGCCCCTCCCACCCCCCCCGCCGGCACCCGCTCGCCACCGCGGAAGCTCCGTAGGCTCCGCCGATGTCCTCTACCACTTCGATTTGTGCCTCCTCGTCCCGTCGCCGGCGAAAAAGCGGTGGATCTGCAGCTGCTCCCGCCGCTGCCGGATTTGGCATTTCCGGCCGCTTGCGGCTGCTCCTTGCCATGGATTGGCCGGGAAGCGGACTGCACAACTCTGGCAATGCCTCCACGCCGCATGCAGGTACCGTCTCCTCCTCTAGCCAGATCTCTTCTGTCGGACGTTCGCCAGCACCAATTTACCTTCTTTGCATGCCACGTTTAAAAATGGGCACCTTTCTGCTGAAAGAAAAAATTAGTGTTACCTTCTCAACTGTTTCGTGTCAGTCATGACACCCCACATATATATAGGCACTTCGTGAGTTATCTATCTTCAGGTTTGTTGACGTACTCTCTCCGATACAAAATAAGTGTCGCAGTTTTGAACCAAGGTTAGTTCAACCCTCATTCAAAACTCGACACTTACTTATTACGGATTGGGGCGAGTACTTCAATAAAAGAGCACAAGGAAGACGCACACCTCACGCACACGCACGCAAGTCCAATGCAGTGCTCACGCTGGAGGCTGGAGCTCATGCACATAGATAGCGTACGTCCTGGCTAATCCATCGTCGGAAGCTGATCTGATCAACATCTACCCAGCTACATGGAGTCATGGACTCACCCCGGGTACAAACGCAGGCAGATCAGACGGGTCGCTGCCACCCTAGCTATGCTAGTGAAAAGGAGCTTGGCTTTTAACCTAGCCGCGGCACGTGTCGTGACGAGACCACGCTGGCGTGCCGGGGAAATCACACCCCGGAGATTCCCGTCGCTGCAACCATCGCGTTGCCGGCCATAGGAGATTGATTGGCAGTGGTACGTACAGGGAAAGGAAAAGGCCCTAGCTTTACCCCGCACGCAGCTGTTCAAATTCCGTCGCGTCGGATACGACCAAAGGGCCGGCGCCAAGCCACGCCTGAATATCCAATTCGGTTCGACGCCTTTTTTATGTGAGACATTCAGGAATTCAGGGTCAGCATTTGGGAGTTACTGCACAGGACCAGAGATCTTTCAGCCAATCTAATAAGTATTGTACTGTAGTTATTTGACTTTAGCCTGCCATGAACTGGATAGAGAGTAAACTGCCAACCTCTTGGAGCTGATAACATGAAGAGATTTGCTCCCCAAAAAAGGGGAGCAACTTTGCGTCTGCATTTTACCATGAACCATCTAGGAGGTGAAACCACCAACCTCCTAGTCATGAGGAGTTAAATCATGAACAATTCATGATGACATGAGATCTGATGGAGCGGTACAATTTTTCTCCGGCAACAGTGTCCACGGTACACGGAACCGCGGGCGTGAGGACACCTGCATGATCTAGGCAAAAGAGAACACAGTGCAAACACAACCCTCAAGTCCAGGAGACTGTGCGGGCACATTGTTGTGATGGCAAGGCTTGGAGCTGTCATTTCTGCATGCCTGAGAATGGCAAAAAACTGAGATAACCCGACTTCGCTCTTGGTAAGCAGGCACGTCGATCCATCGACTCACTCACATTGTCATCTAGAAGAAAAGCTGACAGTAAACGGGCACAGTAGAAATCATACAATTTGTATGAATTGCAATCAACAACAGATGCACGCATGCACGTTCAAGTCAATCGGGCTCCAGCCCGGCATGAACCCTAAGTTCATAGAGGGCTAGCTGGGTAGCCTGCTGTCGTGTCTCAGCCCAGCCGGCCAGCCAGCCAAGTATCAGCCGTGCCACACCTACCATCCATCCACACATGATGTGCCACACACACAATCACAATCACAATCAGGCAGCAGACCCTCCCCTCTGTCGTCTCTCCCGGGGCGCTTTTGACTTGTCACCTGCGCGCACAAACCCTGGGATAATGCCCAGCTCCTTCCAGGAGACAGATCACACAGACACACACACATACGGATCATTCTGAAATTCTCTTCTCCTCATGAAATTCCTCCTCCCGTTGAATCATGCATCTGCAAGGGGAGCGCAATGCGACGCGCAGAAGAGATCGAAAAGCGGCGACGGCCGACGACGATTTGTTTACGTGGTTTTGACTTTGGGTGCTGTTTTTTGGCGCTAAGATAATGCTAACATCCGGCTAATTGTGCGGTTTGGTGGGCAATGGTGACAGGCCCGGCTAATCAGTGGCGGAGAAAAGGCGTGACAATTGCCTACCCTAAAGCAGCCCCGCATGAGCCGTATGCCTGTCCTAAAATAGCTCGGGTACAGATGTACTTACCATAAGAGATGAGATGGTTAAGTACTAGGAGCAGTGTGTGACAAGTTAAATGGCACTGTCTGCAATGTCAACATGCAGTAGTAGCTCTGAAGAAAATGCACTGCTAGTCACTGCATTATTGAGGACAGGGAGATGCACATCAGACTCACTGAACCATAATGTGAGTTAAAGCAGAACTCATCCCAATATGTTACTGCTCTATATGTGATCTTGGCCTGGTAGCAGTTGTAAACTGTAGTCAAATGAGCTCCCAAAGAGAAGAGAAAAGAAGAGAAAGTCAGACAGGCACAGTACAGTGAATGAGAATCTCAGAATGTTCCGAGACAGCAAGCGTACAACCATAAACTTCATGGAGCAGAGCAACCTAAACAGAACCCTTCATTAATTAATGCTAACTTGGCACAACTATAAGCAAATGAGAAAATATGTGGGGCTCAGTTTCAGTAGACACATTTTCTTAAGTGATCCAGCACAATGCAGATTTGGTAAGCTTGACTCCAGAACGACATTACCAATCTAGGTTCTGGTGGCCACACTGAGGTTCATCAGATGCACACCCAAATGGGTTACCACTCGACAATAATAATTACCAAGCAAGCACCATGACTGGTGGGATCATGGCAGTGAAGATATATATATACAGGAAAGAACATTTTCAAGGCGGCCCGCAAATCTTATTCGTGAACTATGTACAATCTGAATAAGGATATCTCTTGTTCAGAGTTTGTTCCCTCTTTTTCTCAGGACACAATCGTATGAAAGAAAAAGGGATAACTGCGTCCAGCTTTGCACCGTGTCTAGTCCCGTGCAACATCTAACATGCACCGGACGGAGCGGGCCAAAATTTATTTACATTACAAACCCCAACAGTTCCCGTCATGAGGAATGGACAGATGCAATATATATATCGTACTTGAAGGCAAACGGCGGCAGCTGACGACTCCTGCAGGCAGGAAATGGAGAAGTCACGTTTGCCAGAACCACTTCAAAATTTTGTCGAAGGAACAGGGGAGGCTCACATCAAATACGCTTTAGAACCGTCCGTGATGAGTTTCTCCTCCCATGGAAGGCCTTCATAAAATCTCATTTCAACTAGGATAAACCGAGACGCTGCCAAGACACATGTAACATATATTCCGGGTTTGCCTTCCTCTAGTCAGGGAACTGGACATGGGATTCCTTACATGCCTCTTCGCGTTGTAATAAATTGAGCCCTTTATTTAACATTCATTGCCGCGGCCATTTTCCGCAACCTTTGAGATATTTCAGTGAAGGATGGCCTTTGAGCTGGTTCACCAGCCCAACTACCTTCCATCAATGATTTCCATTCAGGATCGCACCAGGAAGGGATCTGAGGACGAAGAGAATTGTTCACGATGCCCCCTACAAAATGGACATGATAATTAACTCCACAGGATGGTTAAACACAAGGATCAACATCTTACTACAGTGCATGACTAATACTCCCTCCATTCCTAAATATAAGTCCTTTTAGAGATTCCACTACAAACTACATACGGATGTATGTAGACATATTTTAGAGTGTAGATTCACTCATTTTGCTCCGTATGTAGTCCAATAGTGAAATCTCCAAAAAGACTTATATTTAGGAACGGAGGGAGTATTTGATAAGCACAAAAAGTATCTCTTTGCAATAACAAGCATGATTAATACTCCCTCCGTCCCAAAACTTTAGTTAATTAGTACAAAGTTGAGACACTTATTTTGGGACGGAGGGAGTATATGATAAGCACAAAAGGTATCTCCTATTTGCAATAATAAGCATCAACATCTTACTACAGGTGCATGACTAGTTTTTTTTAAAGCAGAAAAAGTATCTCCTCTTTGCAGTAACCTGTGCTGAATAAAATACAGGGCAAGTAGGGGAACAGCACTGTTATTATTTAGCTTCATTGATTCCAATTTCATACAGCTGGCTTGTTTAACTGCATTATTTAACACATCAATAATAAATATGTATATAGCATTTATCACTGAAATGCATCCTGAGATTTACATCTGATCATTTCCATTAGCTCACCCTACAAAGCCTTTCGAAGTTTCCGGCAAATAAGTTTTTCAAAATTGTATCAGAACACACAGAGAAATTCACAAAGGAAGAAAATGTCCAACAAGTATGTTTTTGGCTTTTTGCAGCCCTGAAACAAGTTACTCAAACTGATAAATGTGCACCAAAAAAAATTATACAAAGACGAAGGTCTCATCGGAAATCAAAATGTAGCAATCAACATAACTTAAGTTTTGAACATTACCAATAATTTCAGCTGCACGCATATCAGAATAAGGGTCGTCCCCGGTAAGTAGCTCCCACATCACAATACCAAATGAGTAGACATCAATCTACAGAATAAAGTTAATCGGCTTTTTGTCAGAACATTAAAAAGTTATACACTGTTTACAGATTATATAGCTTGCCAAATAAAAACAGGTTCTTCTAGAACAAGCACTATTACCTTCTCGGACACCATATCACTTTTCCCACTCAGAAGCTCAGGTGCCATCCATGGTAAGGTTCCTCTAACACCACCAGACACCAAAGTATGCTGCTTCACCTTTGATAGCCCAAGATCACCAATCTGGTCCGGAAGTATCCAGATAGGATGAAACAGTCAGGGAGCAAGGTATTGAACTCAAAAACAAGGACTGTAGGCAAATAGAGAAGGAGAAGCAATGAAGGGAACGAGTGGCGATCAAACCTTGCAGATCGGTCGTTGTGGATCTCTCATGTTTACCAGTAGGTTCTCACACTTGAGATCGAAATGGACAATATTCTTCCCATGCAAATATTCCATGCCAAATGCAGCATCCATAGCCAATATAACCCTTTTGCGGCGATCAATTGTCCTATGGAGTTCCTATAAGATTAGAATTTGGATATGGGAGAAATAAGAAATCAAACTGTTCTTCGATTAAACAAGCAGTACCTGTCTTTCTTCCTCAGGAATTGTTTGAGAGACCCATTGACCATAAACTCGGTAACAGTCGCTAAGCTTCCATCAGGGCCATCACGAACAACACCATAAAATGAAACTACATTTGGATGATGAAGCGAGCTCAGGATCTGAGCTTCTTTCCAGAAATCCGCTATCTGCAAATAAATCAGAACTTGAGGCGTTTTCCATGAGACCAAACCATTACCAAAGCGAACCTATAAATCATTTTCTCAAAAAAAAAATCATGAACATAAACCATCTTTATTACGTACTCCCTCCGTCCCATAATATAAGGCTACTCATAGTGGGGAGTATCATATACTAGTATCATGCATATGATACTAGTGTATGATACTATCTTCATAGTGCATAATATCATAGAGTAGTACTCCCTCCGTCCCAAAATACTTGTCGGAGAAATGGATAAAAATAGATGTATCTACAACTAAAATACATCTAGATACATCCATTCGTCCGACAAGTATTTCCGGACGGACGGAGTATCATAGATGATCATATTTATTGCCATGCATGACACAAAGTAGCATAGCATTTAACATGATAGGGTATCTACCTATGTTACTCTAACTCTCTCTCTTCTTTAATTCTCTGCCACATCAGCATGTTTGCTATTCCCGAGTGCATGATACCGGCTAAGATACCACCATGGCCAGCCTAAGAGCTCTTATATTATGGGACAGAGGGAGTATATTATTAGTATATAATATACAGGCAGCCAAGGCCTCCATTACTTTAATATTGAGAAAAGAAACCTATCCACAGCCATATTTTTTTCTACAAAACATGAAATTACTCGAGTATTAGATGAGTAGCAGTAAGAGGTTTTTGACCCTGAAATAGGTAAAGAGAAATTTTGCTATGCTGCCAATCCTTAAGTCGACAACTAACAAGGAAATAAAGCATACCAAGCGCTCTCTCTCAGATGGCCTTCCATCAAAGCAACTAGCTTTTATTCTTTTGATGGCAACATCACAACCCCTCCATTTACCATGAAAGACTGACCCATAAGTACCCGAACCAAGCTCTCTGATTTCCTCCAGATCATCATTTCTTATAGTCTGCATGAACACAAAAGTATAAATAGGACATAAGCTAAAAATAAATAGGATTACACATAAAGAGATCAGCGAGTGACCTGTAATCCTTTAGACAAAGCTTCAGCTTCAGCGGGTGTAGTTTCGATCCCAGAACTTTTGTGCTGGTCGCAGCTTCCATGCACATCAGGGTCCTGATCTACATCAGTATTCTGCAGATGGAAGGATTTGAGTGGAGAGCATTAGGTAGTTTAATGCTTAATGTGTTTGTTCAAGTATTACTCACAGCAGCCGTTACCTCATCAAACTTCTTCCCATCATTGCCGTTATCACAAACAGGTGAATTTGCAGGACGAGCATCTGGCTGAACCTCTACTGGCTTCTCAGACTCTTCCAGTGCAGCCTTTTTAACAGAGGCAACAAACTCTGGAAGGATATTTAATCTGTTCTCCGATATATCCCCACACTGCTGCAATGCAACAGCCCCACCGTCATGTTCTGTAGGTTTGCCCCGTTGGAGATCAACTCCAACATTGTGAACCAAGGTGCTAGGGTCACTCGCAGCGTGTGAAGGTTTTGTTTCAGTCACATTTTGAGTGTGCCTTTCATCATCTGCTCCTTCCAATTTCTTTGTTGTGTTAATGTCCAACCTGGACAAATGATCAGCAAGGGGTACCGCAGCAACAGATACTTTACCATCAAGCGGTGATAGCATGGGTCCAGCGGATGCTCTTTCAGGAAAAATTTCTACCAATGGAGCTCCTGGTTGCTGCTGGACTGATTCTGGGGCAAAGAAAGGCTGAACATACTGAGCAGTGTTTGGACCTGACCGAGAACCAAGGGAAGAAGGGTTCTCAACAACAGCGGGAACATCATGTCCAACGATTCTATATGGTATGTTGCCATTGGGTGAAGGCCATGGGTTTGGGACTCGATCATATGCAGGCATACCAGGAATCCTTGGACTAACATCACCTGTGTTTCTGACAAAGTTGGAGTTGATGCTCCCATTTGGGATCGGCAGGTGCGGTGATTCATATGATGAGCCTGTGTGAACAGGGCTGCTTGCTCTCCTTCTCATGGATTGAAGTGGCGGCAAGTTCTGCTGCATTTGGTAAAAGGTATCAGCACCATATGTTGAAGTATGGCTGTAATGCTGGCCTGTCGATTCTTCAAAACCTGATGTCTGGACATAGGAGCCACTACTCACATGCTCGCCCTGGCCACTGCCATGATAATAGTGGGGACTTTCATGGCTTGAGCGGCTGTGAGATGTTGAATGCATTTCATATACTTTGCTGGGTGCAAATGCAGAATTAGCTGAGTTGCTATCAGCATACGGATCCATCACTCTACCATTAGCAGGCAGATTCAACCTTGGATCCTCATACCGTTGATGGCTTTGGTTGGGATGCACATGCCAAGATCTATCATGAGAATGTGATTCGTTGTAGAACATGGGAGGGTGACCACCCGTTTGCTCTTTCACATAAACACCATTTTCCAGTCTAACATCTTGGCCTACAACATAATGCTCACCAGGACGACCATAATCTGGACGCTGAATAGCAGGGTGAGCAGAATACTCACTTGCCATGCTTGATTGATCAAAATGTTGTTGGACTGGCCTCCAACGGGGATCCATATAACGAGGATCACTCACTGAACCTTGACCCTTCTGGAATGACGAACGGGAGTCATATACACTGTTTCCATCCAAGAAATTGCCGGAGCGGCCCAAATTCCCTGGGAAGCCAGCATTTTGCTGAATTACAGCACCAGGTGGAAGCCAGACCAAGTTATCCACATGTGGCGGTGACTGAGCCTCATAATGCCGATATTTTGGCGATTGCCTCACAAAATCATCAGGAATCCTCTCATCAAAGTCCTCTGCTCCAACTTGAAACCTTGCAGATGATGGTGAAATGGGAAAATCCCTTGGATCAGGCACTCCATACTGCCCCGGAGAGATATATGCAGGGCTCCAAGGAGAATCCATCTCCCCATACCGCTGATTATGTGAGGCACGAGGAACATTCAAATGCCGCAGGCCAGCAATATCGGGAATTCCTGACTCATTGCCTCCGATACCAAAAAGCTGCTCCACTGACACAGGAGATGAAGGTGATCTCATGTCACCAAGGCTGTTAAGCGCGTCGACATACCTCCTCTCCGTCTCCCGCTCATCCCCATGGTAATGCACAGCTGCTGATGCAGCCTCATCATCCAGGTGCTGCGAGAATAAGAAGACCCTGAGCCTAGTGAACCCCTCTCCCGCAGCAATGAGCTTGTCATACTCCTCCATCATGTTCACCACATCATCATCATTAACAACCGAGACCAGTGCATCAAGATCCTCATCAGGCTGCTGGTACTTGATGATATCGGCATCGTCATAGAGCTCCCGCATCCGCGCCGCCAGGTCGGAGTAGGATATGTCGCGGGGCAGCATGACGATCCTGGTGTCGCCGCCGACGTAGCGGAGACGGCCGTCGAGGGGGCGGGGCAGGATGCTGCCTCCGAAACTGCAGAGGAACTTGGCCATGCGCTGTGCCCCGTCAGCCTCGGTGCTGCTGGCTGCAGCGGCAGCGGATGGCGCCATGGTGTGCCGAGGCTGCGTGATCAAGCTGGCTTGAGTTGGATCAGCGGCAGAGCCAAGTACATCACACGATTGCCAATCCACCAGTCCCAACCAGCTGCTCTCGTTAGCCCCTTTCCTGTGGATAGAAAAATACCAAAATTGTTAGCCTAGAGCCCAAAGATTTGGCACCTTCCATCCATCATCAGACGAATAAAGACACGAAATCGGACAATTTCAGACAGATTTCGCCAATAACACCTCAGATCAGCCCCCCACCGTCAGACAAACGACAAAATTCTTTCCTAAAAAAAGAATGAGCCGGGGGCGGGGGCAATTTCGAAGAATGCGTTGGAGCAGACCCGAATGATTTGCCCGCAAAATCCGAATTCAAAATCTGAAAACAGAATCTACAGGGACTGAGCTCCTATGATTCCCCGCTGGCGGAAATTTCCCCAACGGAATTCCTATTCCCCGCCGATCTTGGCCGGATAAACACAGAAACTCATTCCGTTTCCTCCCCCCGAAACAGACGGGGAGGATAAGAAGGACGAACGAACTAACTTCCAATCCAAAAAAACAGGAGAAATCCAGCCGATTGTTGGTGTTCGAGGGAGGAAGAGGGGGAGTGAGGCCGTACCTGCCTGCCTGCCTCTGGCACGATCCTGGGCTCCCGGGGTCGGCTGAGCAAGCGGGAGAGGGGGCGAGCAGCCGACTTGGGCGGCTGGGCTCCGGGCGGCGGTGCGGTCGCGCTTTAGGGGCGGGGGAAGGGAGGCGAGAGGGAGAGGGAGAGGGAGAGAGAGGCGAGGAGGAGGCGTCCCCCGGATTCGCGGTGGGGAAGTGAGGGAGGGAGGGAGGGGGAGGCCGTGGTGGTGTTGTTGGCTGGGGGATTCGGATATTCGCTGGGTCGCTCTGGGTATCACGCCGTCAGCGCGGGGGGCATCGCCGGCGCCGCCGCCCACGCGGGACTCGTCGGCGTCAGGTGTGGAAGGGGAGGGGATCGGCTGGTGTCGTGTGGAGGCGGAGGCGGGCCGCCCGTGCGGGTGCGGCGCGCTACGTGTGGTGGAGGGAGGGAAGGGAATGTGGTTTGTTTGCGCGGACGGACGGACGGACGGGGGAGAGAGAGCCAGCCAGAGAGGAGGCGCGGCGCCGGGCCACTCGGGTTGGGGGATTCCTAGCGGCTCGGGATTTGCGGTGGAGGCGCGGCGGGGCGGCACGTGTGGCGTGATTCTGTTCCGTTCCTGATGACGCGACCCCCGCCCCCTCCCCACGCGCACCCGCCCCTCCCGGTTTTATCCCATCGTACGGTGGTTCAGTTGGGCTGGCCTTGTTGCTTCCTTCCTGCGTGCTTCCGCGCCGCGCCGTCCCTTGCCTGCACTGCACGGCAGGGAGTGTCCACGCAAGTGTAACAACCAACCAGTCCAGCGGTTACTTGGTCATCACCTCGACCAGCCGAACGATCTCCATGTTTTTCCTCGAGTTGCACTGCATTGTCAACTCGGCCATTAATCGGTCAGTCCAAGCAAGCCGCCCTGCAACTGGCCACGCGCATGCATTACGGCCCTCGGTGCCCTGGGGAGCTTCCCGTGTACCGAGCCTCGGCCGGGATCGGATCACGCTGACAGAGCCGATCTGATCGTGTCGCGTCATCGTTTTTCACTCTCATGGTCACGGCAGCTGGCCGGAGATGGAGAGGGGCGGGCGGGCAACATGAAGGAGCGAGACCGCCGGCCCGGACCGGCCGTCGTTTTCGGCATTCACGTCACGAAAGTTCAGCGCACGACCGACCATCCGCTCCTGGACTAGGAGGTATAGCTAGCAGATCAGATCGATCAGCCGTAACTTTCACTCCCAACAATACCAACATCAACATGTACGTACGCGCATATATACTGCATATGCTCCACACTCCAGAGTCTTGACATTGCATATGCTGGAGAGCGAGGGCGGCATCAACCGACATACGATATGCTCCGGCTTATGGGAGAGTTTCTGGAAGCCGGACATGCATGGCCGAACAGAACATATTCCCTTCATCAGGTGTGCCGTTTGCATGCATGATCGGATCGACGCCGGCATGGCGTATCGATGCTGCTATTTTTGATCTCTTCAAATCAAAAAGGGAAAAAGGGCAACGCTTCCGCTGATGCAAAGAACACTGAACGAAAAATAGATTATCGGCCAGACAAAAATGTGGCCTATCCTCATCTCATTCTGTCCTACCTACGTTCTGTGCCGTCCATATATATGGAGATATCTTCTTTAATTACGACGCTACGCTGCTTCTTTTCTTTTTCTTGTTATAACTTTTTGAACGTTGCTATTGAAAGTTACAGCACATAATTGATAAACTCCTTTTTTTAGGGAATAGTTGGTTAACTTCAGTGGAAGTGGGGCCAATTGGTCCGGATATGGATAGATTATTGTGCTCACAGGATTTGGAATAATCACACAGACTTGTAGCCGAGAAATAGAAGATGATTGAGTGTGATTAGAACATGCAAAATTTCATGGGCAAATGATATTCTACGAGCTCTAGGGCAAACAAAAAACGGTTTTGCTCAAACTCAGCTAGCTCAGTTTTAATTGTGGTCTCAATCACTTTTTTGACCGTCCGATCGTCGCACATCAGGTTGTTGTCGTTGTGCGTTCTGTCCGAACGACGCGGCTCTACTCTCGTACAGGACGTAGCCCATGTGCATGAGTACTAGCTTTTTTTGTTTTTCTGTTTACGGGCTATATGGACTTTTCTTCTTCTTTTTTACCCAGTGGAAAAAGGCAAAGAGGATATGATCGAAGGATGAGAATCGTTGCTAGCTAACTGCATTCTTCCTTGCATGTTATTGTCACTTGTTTTCTTTTTTGAATCATGTTAGGGTCATTTGTTGACCGTAGCTTCCAGGTCAGCTCTTTGTAACAACTTTCTTTTCATATATTTTTCTCTCATGATTAATTGTTTTTTTTGTTATTTCACTAATATGTTAGTAGAACACTATTCCACTCTTCTCCCTTTTCCTAATTTAGTGTATTCATTTTGTTTTTTAGATTTGTATTCATTTGTTACCGTAGATTGAAAATTGATTGTTTAGGGATTTCACTATTTTTTTATTTTTCTCTTCCATTTTTCCATTTTCTGTATTTTCTATTTCGCTTTTTCTTCTTTTTAAAATCATTTTCTATTTTTATTCCACTTATTTATTTATGTCATTTTTTATTCTAATGGTATCAAAGCACATTCCTCCTTTTCGGTACAAATGCTTCCTCCATGAGTTTTTCCATCAAAACATTTGTGCGACCAAAATTTTTAAGTCTGGTCACAACTACATGTTTCTTAAATTGGGTCGTAATTATAATCTATTAAGTCGGGTTGCAACTGTTAAGTTTTAGACGGAGTCGCAACCGCGAGGTTTCCAAAATTTGATCACGAACAACCGTTTTCTCAATGTGGCTGCGACTGCAGGCTTTCAAGTCAGGGTTGTAACTGCAAGTATTCAAAAGTCGGGTCACAACTGCAAGTTTTCAAAGTTAGGTTGCAACTGCAAGTATTCAAAGTCGAGCCGCAACTACAAGTTTCCAAAGTCGGGTCACAACTGCAAGTTTTCAAAGTCAGGTTGCAACTGCAAGTATTCAAAGTCGAGCCGCAACTACAAGTTTCCAAAGTCGGGTCGCAACTGCAAGTTTCCAAAGTCGGGTGGCAACTGCAAGTTTCCAAAGTCGGATCGCAACTGCAAGTTTTCAAAGTCGGATCGAAACTGCAAGTTCCAAAGTCGGGTC